CTTTGTCCTGGGGGGTCATTACAGGCTCCCTGGTCTCCATGTTGAGGCGTCCTTCCTCCTGGGGCGTCATTACAGGCTCCCTGGTCTCCATGTTGTGGTGTCCTTCCTCTTGGGGGTCATTACAGGCTCCCTGGTCTCTATGTTGAGGTGTCCTTCCTCCTGGGGGTCCTTACAGGCTCCCTGGTCTCCATGTTGAGATGTCCTTCCTCCTGGGGGCCATTACAGGCTCCCTGGTCTCCACCTTGAGGCGTCCTTCCTCCTGGAATCTCTTCTTCCATCAGTTACTTCCTGTTCAAAAGGCTGAATCCAGATCAAGAGCCACACTTCACCCCTGGCAGAACTCTGAGCCCAGACAGTGTTCCATCCAGGGAGGGCAGAGGGAAGGTATTCAACATCCCTGCTTTACATATGAAGATGCAGAGGGGAGGGACATGTCCCAAGTCAGGAAAAAGTCTGTGGGTGAGCCTGAGGGCTCCAAGAGAACTTCTGAAGACTGGGGTGCTGTAGGGTGCTGTGGCACCAGCCTGCCTACTCAGGCTCCCCAAGGCCCACGCCCCTCCCCCTCATCTCTGCAGGGCATCCAGGGACTGAGGTGGAAATGCTTATTTGGGGACAGTGAGCAGCCTCCCAGGGGACCAGGAGTTGCCGTGATCCTTGAGAGCTGCAAGTTGGAATCACCTGGAAGATGGGCCTTGGGCACAGCTTCCCTGCATAGTGGCCCTGGGTGGGGAGACCAAAACCAACCAAACCCATTGCCGTCGAGTCAATTCCAACTCATAGCAACCCTATAGGACAGAGTAGAACTGCTCCATAGGGTTTCCAAGGAGCGGCTGGTGGATTCAAACTGCCGATCTCTTGGTTAGCAGCCCGAGCGCTTAACCACTGCACCACCACAGCTCCCTGGGCAGGGAAAGCAGGCGCTAAATGAGCGGACGCAGACCTGAGCCTCCCTCCTGCAAGCCACCATGCCCAATTCCAGCCAGCTGCTGGGGGGGGGGGGGCCTGATCGGGGTGGGGTCTACCCCTTCCCTGACCCCTGATTTGCATATGCCCTTCTGCATTTCCTTGCCCAGGGAGAAATTCCATCACCTTTCGGAACCCCACTACATGCCATCTCCTCAAACAAGCTTCCCTGGTGCCAAGTTGGGGTAGGCGCCTCCTCTGTGCCCTCCCAGAGCTTCCCCATCACCGTGGCCCCCTCGTGCGTCCCTGCCACCAGACCAGGGCTCCCTGAAGGCACCATCCCCCGTGCCCAGAACCAGGCGGAACGGAACCATGGCTTCTGTTTTCCTGCGGCCCCGGCTCCTCCTCCTGGGCACGGGAGATGGGAAGGTTTGCTGGGCCTGGTCCCCGCCTCTCCAGGGGTCACTCTGCTCTAACTCAGACGAGGGGATCCTTCTGCTGGGGAGCAGAGCATCTGCTCTGTGCGCCACCTTGTGGCGACAGGTGGGAATGCATGGGATCCTCCCCACCCCACCCCGCACAGGGCTGTTTGCACCGTGAGGCCCCGCCCCCCTACTCTCCTACCAGGAGGTCAGAGGAAGGCCGCCAGCCTCCTTCACACAGGTTAAGTGGGGAGAGGCCTTTCTGCCAGGGACCCCGCGGCTGCTGGCCCTGCACAGCTCCTGGGCACTGGCCCTGGGGGTGCAGTCTCGGGTCAGCTCCCTCTCTTTATTGGGGTCCTTGGGGCAAGCCCTTTCTGCCTCCCGCCCAAGTTCCCATGTATTCCTGTGCATTCACGCTGGATCCGGTTGGGTGGACTTGGGTGGGGTCTTCCTTGAGTGTGGGCTGGGCTTATGGTCCACGTGACGCTGCGCTTTTGCCCAGTGAGGCCACCACTGCAGGGACCTGAGACCGAGAGACCAGCAGGTGTGTGTGTGGGGGTGGGGGTGGGGTGCAGGGCTAAACCCGAAGCAAAAGGAAGAAAGTAATTTTCCCTGTTGCAGAGAGGGGGAGAGACTCCCCGTCCCTCTTTTTAGAGCTTTTACTTTAGGAACTTGTTGCTGCAAACCCTTTGCCTCTTTGGAGAAATCCTCTTGAAAGGCTGAATAAGCGTCGGGACAGTTTGACAACCCAGGATGTTCCCCCAAGGACCTGGGTCTCACACTTTAAAATGTAATCAGTGAGAACAGCGTGTGGAGAAATTGTTGAACGGGAACCGAAACTGCTGTG